ATTACTTCCAAACCCTGGATGATATATATTTTTTTCATTCCTTTTTGTCACGAAGTTGATACCGTTAGACATGATCATAGCTTGATCCAAATCTCTAATCTCTTTCAAATTATTTTGTGTTTATTATTTTTTATTTCATTTTTAAGCCAGGCAAAGTCTTCGACAAAAAATTTGCTAAAAAATCAATTTCCAGGCAGGGACAGGTTTTAGTTTAATATGATTAAATTGTTTTCGATAATTATAAAAATGGATGAATTTTAGTATATCAAGTTGAGCTGGAAGCGGACTCTGCACGTTATTCTTTTTAGATGCAATCATGGGTCAACCGCACCAAGTCAATGAAGACAGGGACAGGTCAGCCAAGTCAATGATATTTTGGGATAAGTAAGAATTTCTAGCCATTGAGTAAGAAAAACGACAGAAAAAAAGCTAGGCTAGTTAGAAAAAGAGTCACGTGGTAGGTTCATGGCATCATGATTCATGACAAAACCAGGTGCGAGCCTTCTTTACGTCCACAAGACTAGACCCATTGCTCTAAGGGTGGAAGCACTGATTTATCTCTATCAGATTCCACCAAGGAAAGGGTGTGGACTGTGTAGGGTTGCGGCAATACAGCAACAGCTGTCTTTGCCCATGCACGAGAATTGCTCCTTGAGGAAAATCTCTATCATCTTGCAAAGTTACCTGACCTGATGCCACCAAATAACCCATGGACAGGATAAACTGTTCAGGCAGATTTAATGATTCAATGATTTAGATTGAATGTAATATCATACCAATTTGTTTTGGGTTAGCATTGCAGCATTGCCTCTGTAAGTTTTCACTGTGTGGCGTCAAACCAATGTAATTAAATGATGTGATTATAGTTGTCAGTGTTCAAAATAGGGTTGCTGTAGCCTGTAACTTTCCACCGTGTACTTCAGATTTTTGGGCAAACCCCAGACTCAGATATCTTTCTTTACTGGGTGGTCATTGCTATTGAACTATCAAGATTAACATTAACTAGACCAAAATAGATGCAATTTGGATGGAATTTCATCAGAAAATGTAATACAAATCAGTTAATGACATCCCATGTGAGTATATTAGCCTCTTTTCTCATTTTCTTTTCCTACGAGTGAATGATGGATAAAAAAAAGTAAGACTACAACCATTTTTTTTTTTTGGCTTTTCAATTTGATTTTCTGGAATTTATTTGTGCATTTGATTCTTATAATAAGCATGAATCTCATAATCTCTAACCCTACCGAGCACTTGAATTTTACCTAACTTTTCAGGTAGATTGTACAAGGACCTTGTTGGAAGTGCATACTATGTTGCACCGGAGGTGTTAAATCGGAAATATGGCAAGGAGATAGATGTGTGGAGCGCTGGAGTCATTTTATACATTCTTCTTAGTGGAGTGCCTCCATTTTGGGGTGGTATGTGAAAAAAAAATATTATTTATTTTTTTGGATTTATTCAGAATTCTGCTACAAGAACGCTGCAGGGAAACACAAAAATGTTTCCTGTTTGGATTTGTGAGGTACCATAGAAATTTGAAATGAGAACAATCAATCACCGTTCAGATGGAACTTGATTAAAGTAGTACATATGCATGAAAATTCAAACAATATGAATTGGAGGACTCAAACTGACTTGCTACTTCTCCTCTCATGCTGTCACTTGGTTTTTGTATCCCCTTAATTTTCTGACAGTGATTTAACTTCAACTTAATTTGGAGTCAATATCTTGCCATTCTGAGAATTTAACTTTTTCTATAAGGAAAAAGTTTTGACTTTGGTTCTGACACCTTTTTCATCTGTTAATAAATAATTTTGGTGCAGAGACTGAGAAAGAAATCTTTAAAGCAGTTTTAGAAGGTAATCTTGACTTAAAAAGCCAGCCATGGCCATCTATATCTGATGGTGCCAAGGACCTCCTAAGGAAGATGCTAGCAAGGGACCCTAAGAACCGGATTACAGCTGCCCAAGCTCTAGGTAAACACGTGTTTCTGAAAATTTGACTAGGCAAATGCTTCTAGACAAAGAAAAGAGTGAGCGCAGAAAGGAAGAGAGAGTGGGGGAGGAGGCGGGGCTTGGAAAACCATATTGAATTCTGTTCAATCATCTCAACTTTGGATCATCTCAGAGTTGGATTGAAAACCTTGAATATCAGATTCATCCTTAATGCAGAACATATTCAGATAATTAGTGGGCCATTAATGTTTTTCATGTTGTGTATTTGAACCAGAACATCCTTGGATTAAGGAGGGTGGTGATGCATCTGACAAACCTATGGATAGTGCTGTTCTTAGCAGGTTGAGGCAGTTCAGAGTAATGAACAAGCTCAAAAAACTTGCCTTAAAGGTATGATCCAAGTAACGCCTCTAGTTTTGTACTCATGTCAAACTTGCATGCTCAACTGTTATTAGATTACATTTCTTGGATAAAAACATACTCAATGTACATAATGTGGGGCTATTATCTTACTGTCTTGAATCAGTCACTGCTCCACCTGGGTGCACATTTGCTTTGTGTTGAGAAGTTATTCTTGAACTTTACTCAAGCATAAAAATACAAATTTCTTTCTCTTTCGTTCTTTTTCACGCCAGCTGATATCTTTATCTGAAATTTGGGTTGCTGGTAGGTGATAGCAGAAACCCTATCATCAGAAGAAGAGGTCAAGGGCTTGAAACAGATGTTCAACAACATTGACACTGATGGCAGTGGTACGATAACACTTGAAGAACTCAGGGTTGGATTAGCTCGATTGGGATCTAAGCTAACTGAAGCAGAAATACAGCAGCTTATGGATGCCGTAAGAGTTATTTAATTATATAATCCCTCCCACCCTCTCTTTCTACAAAAAGCATTCACTTAATGAAACAATCCTTGAGATGTAATTCCTCCCAGCACCCAAAAACAAGATGGCAACTTCTGAATGTCTAAACTTTATTCTACCAGGCTGATGTCGACAAGAGTGGAAGCATTGATTACATTGAATTCATCACTGCTACAATGCCTCGACATAGGCTGGAGAGGGAAGATAACATATACATGGCTTTCCAATTCTTTGACAAGGATAACAGTGGGTTAGTGTACTGCAGTATTTCCTTCCTTTGTTTCCTCTTAATTTATTGTGCAATGCAAGTTTTGTCGGGAACCATCCAGTTTTCTTATGAACTCTGCCTATGATTCTAAGTTTTGATTGACTTTATCATGACTATTATTATTTCCATTCAGCTTTATCACAAGAGATGAATTAAGACAAGCTATGACTGAGTACGGAATGGGAGATGAGGCTACAATAGATGAAGTCATTGAGGATGTGGATACTGATAATGTAATTTTCTTTTCTGAATCCTAATAACCCTTTTGTTTATTTACTTTTTCCCTTTTATTCTTCATATAATGTCTTTAAAATGGTGTTTGGATGCATGACTCTAGGATGGAAGAATCAACTATGAGGAATTTCTAGCCATGATGAAAAGGGGAACTCAAGATGGGGACAGTTGAGTAACTGCTTGCACCATGAATAAACTAAACAGGGCCAGAGCAAATTAGAATCATCTGCACGAACATTCCCATTGTTTAACTCATCCAGAAGCTTGGCTGGCTCTTTCTATCTTCAAATACCAATTCCCCACACAATCCTGCAAATGTGGTTGTGAATAAACTCATTCCGTGTAGTTTTAAATTCTGTTTGTTTTGTATAAATATGCCCATCTCAGTTCTGTGCAATGTTTGTGTTCTGTGTGTACAAAAGAGGAAACAGAATTGGAATTGCATTCTAATCTCTCTCTGTCTCAGAGATTATTCTGCTAAAATTTGCTTTTGGGATTGGACAATGAAACTACCTTTGTTGATACTATCATCCACCACCATAATCAAAATCTCTAATGATTGAGACTTTGACAGAATCTGCCATGCAATGATAAATGATAAAATCCCATCATTGATTATGACCAAAAAAGAATATTTGTGAAAATAGGGATGCATTTAATAATATCTATATCGGATAATTTAAAATTCTAAAATAATTTTTTCATTTAACATGTTATCTTAGCTAAATTCAAGAACAAACGATATATTTACTTTGCCCCAAGGTAAAATATCGTTTCTTCTCTACAAAGCCCTACTCTGAGGCGTGGGAGTTGGAGTTGGGCGTACAAGGAGAATGGTCTCCTTCTACTCTTGTTGCCTGTTTCCTTCAACAAAAGCCTTCCAAATCTCCCCTTCTTTCGTCTTCCTCTCCCCTCGATATCCTAAATTACTTCCCTTTACTCTTTCCGGAATCCTTAGAGCCAGAGCCAGAACCAGTTCCGGTTGCGCCGCCCAGACTCAAGAACCGAATAGAACCAGCTATACCGGCGTTCAACTAGAAGAAACCGTCGATGGGACCAAGCAAGGCAAGCTTCGGCTGGATTCTTGGATCTCTTCTCGAATTCAAGGCATCAGCAGAGCTCGAGTGCAATCCAGTATAAAATCAGGCCTGGTGACGGTCAATGGCCGCGTTGTCGACAAAGTAATTCATTTTTTTGCTTCTACTATTAAATTTCTAAAGTGAAATCATTTGGATAATTTTGGGTTTAACTATTCATTTCTGAGTAGGTCTCGCATGGCCTGAGACATGGGGATAAGGTTCATTGCGTAATATCAGAGCTGCAACCATTGAGAGCTGAACCTGAAGACATACCGTTGGATATAATTTACGAGGACGACCATGTTCTTGTCGTTAACAAACCTCCACACTTGGTAATTTAATTCAAGATTCGGAAAAAAAATGTTTTATTCGAACTTCACTTTGGGCTGTAACCTGTAAGATTCTGACATTTGCAAATAGCACTGCTTTATTTTGTTGAGGTTGTTCATCCAGCACCTGGCAATGCTACTGGAACGCTAGTAAATGGAATTCTTCACCATTGCAGTTTACCCACAGTGGCATTGTCCGGAAAGGAAGTTCTTTCAGACACAGAGGATATTTCTGATGATGATGAAGGTTTCTGTTATGGCGCAAGTGCAGCAGCTTCTGTTCGGCCAGGGATTGTACATAGATTGGATAAAGGCACCAGTGGATTGCTTGTTGTTGCAAAGGTTAGTAATTTTGTTTGTTCCTCTTTTCTTCTTGGTTGCTTCCAGCTGCGCTAATTACAAAACTAGCTTGTGGTTGTCCTTGGTGTATGGTAATGGCAGGATGAACACTCCCATTCCCATTTGTCGGAACAGTTTAAGCAACATACGATCCAGAGAGTGTACATCAGTCTTACTTGTGGGGTGCCTTCACCTTCTGCCGGACGTGTGGACATTCCGATCGGTCGTGATTCAAATAACCGCGTCCGGATGATTGCTGTACCAGGACTAAATCATCATGGACGGGCTCGTCATGCTGCTAGTAGGTGATTTCTGGTCCTTCATTACATTGTTCTACTGTGATTAATTCAATAACTATTGGAGAAAGATGAGTGAGATTCCCTTTTGATCAGATACAAAGTAGTTCAAGTACTGGCTGGTGGTGGTGCCGCACTGATTCAGTGGAGATTGGAAACTGGGCGTACTCATCAGGTACCATTTAACACACAATTTGAGAATTTCTATAGATAGTTAAGCAATTAGTGAGTGCATATTTCGTCATGAATGAATACTGGTGTAACTTTTGTTCTTCATATATTCCATCTCCGTATGATTGTCGGCTAAAAGAACTCACGTCATTCCAATTTACGTTCATAATCTGTTTCATTGTCACGCTTGTGACGTAGATCCGTGCGCATGCAAAGTACATGGGAATTCCTTTATTGGGCGATGAGGTGTATGGAGGGACAAAAAGCATGGCCTTATCATTGCTTCGACCCAGGATTCCCCCTAACTATAACGACCAACTTTCACGGCTGGTTTCTAGATTGGAGAGGCCATACCTTCATGCCTTGGTCCTTGGGTTAGGGGATTGAAAACCTAGACTAATTTATTTGCTTCTGTTTCATAACCATAAGAAAGGGATGAAAGTTTTTGCTTCTGCCTATTCTTTTGTAGTTTTGAACATCCACACTCAAGGGAGATGATGCACTTTTCATGCCAACCCCCTCCAGATTTTGCTGAAATATTGAGTCATCTTCGTAAAATTGGCACAGAGAAGGTAATTTTCTCGTGGAGATGTCAGTTGTTGACTAGAGTTTTGAGTTTTAGAAATTTGCCTTACTAATTGCAAGTGTCTACTCTGCAGCCTACTCTTAAGGAATAATCAGATGTATTCTCACGGCCTCCAAAAGCTCTTGCATGAACATGGATGTGGAAAATCAGCCGATAACTCTTGTTGAGGTTATGATTCTAGCATGTCATCGACCATTCCTACAGTTAAATCAGCGAATCAGGGCTTAATGATGCCTGTATTGATAAGGAGTTAATAGGTGTGTCTGATCACTGATCATGTCTCGAACTATCAAGTCAATCTTGCCTCGTCACAGATAGAATATAAGATCTCTATCCGAGTGATGCCCCGTTCTTCTCCTTGAGCTGAGCTAAGGAATCACCAGTTGCATTTGTTTAATCTTGAATGGCTTTAAAGCCAAAACTGTAATTTATCAAGTTCGTCTGGACTACTTGCATTGGAGTTTGATTATCCAATTCGTTTCATACGTTTCTGGACTACTTACATTTCAGTGAAAGAATCTGATTTTGGAAGGACTGAGGAGCATGACCATCTTTGCATATCCTGATGATTAATACTCTGTTTCATGGCAGAGGCGTTTCTTTTCAGCCTTTATCTAACATGTAAATAGATGGTTTTGGATCAAATATACAACCTTAAGTTACCAAAAATAGTGGCTGGTTGTTACCTTTGGTCAAGTTCATACAGGTCAAAGATTGAATACCAAAATTGGGGATAATACAGTTGTCAACAATAGAAAGACTAAAAAAAATTGGGATGGACAAGAAAGAGCAAAGTATTTCTAACAAATACCTGTAATTAAAACCATCTACTTAACTCAGTGGCTCCAAGCAATTAAAATTTCTTAGCGCAAGGAAGAGCTTGAGGTAAAACCTGACTTGTATTCATGATTATTTTTGATACTTTACAGTCAGGCTGTCAATGCATCACCTGGATTCTTCTTCCTATCTCCTAATTTATCTCTATTAAACTATGACATCATATTTTCTCGTTAGCGCAGGATGCTGATAGTAGGTAAATGGAAAAACTAAATGTGAGGACAGGTACTTCTCAACCTAGCAATTAGGTCAAAAGATACAAAATACCCATCCACTAAAAGAATAATGGACCTGAGTTACAAGTTAAATGATAGAGGCACACAGCAACTAGTATCAAATTCCATCACCATTTACCACACCTTCCCAGCAGTGGACCACTATGACGTGTAATTGGCGTCCTGTCAAGGAAAAAGCAGTATGCATCCAATTAACAAAGAACCAATTCAACTGCCGTACCTTCCTACTTACTAATTAGTTATTAACCAACTTATGTATCAATAAATAAGGTCATTCATCCTCAAAACCAGACACCAGAAAAAAACCAACCGAGCCAAGCTACAATAATTCTGCATTTTCTGTGTTTGCATGCCTTTATTTCACTTAATGTTTGCATGCCTTTATTTCACTTAAATCTACACCCTCAACGACCTCAAAAAACATCCTTGACCTTGAATCCCAGCATAAAGGCAGTACTAGCATCCAGGAATGTGGCATATCATTGAAAAAGCTAACTAACTCAGCTTATAAACTTCTCATTGTTTGAAGGATGCCACACTTCTCTAATCTCATATTTTTTCCAAGAAGTTTGGGGGATATAGGAAAAAGAAAAGCTAACTCTTCAATGAGAAACTTAATGGTATACACTTAAAAGGCATCATGACCATCTAAGAAGTATATCAAAAGGCTGGATGCAAACCAACTACAGCAGTGACTTTCATGCAGCTACTACCTTTGGCATAGACTAGTACCTATATAGGGCAGCTTAAACCTTGTATTCTTCAACATGCATCCACTTTGTAGAGGACCATTTGTTCCCCATAATCACAGGGCATCCACCTGGCATCAACAGCCATAAGACAGATTTAAACTCATTAGTTTATTTAAATGCTTAATCATTCTTGAACCACAACTAAAGATAAACCCAAAAATAGTTGGAAAAAGGGTCAACTACAAACCATGCAAACTTGAAGGATCTACCGTCGCATCAGGCCTCATGCTCCAGAACAGCAATGCATCACCCATCTTCGGCTTCACAGCAAGACCCTGTTTACCACATTCAGACAATTCATTCCACCAAGGCACAGCACTAAAATTTCCCTTGGCTGCTGGAAATATTGTCTCACCCCCTTCTTCAACATCTGACCTGCATCAGTGGCAGAAACTAAGGTAGGAGGTAGCAAATCCTTTTCCATCTTAAAAAAAAGATAGGAGAAAAAGAGGAAAGAAGTTCCTGTGCTACAAGTGTCTAAACAAAATTGGGTGTGGAATGCATCATAGACATGTATTGAGAAAATTATAAAACTTACAAATACATAAGCATAGTAGCCATCCGCTGGCCTCCATTTTTAGTGTTGAACTCATCAAGGAAGTAATCAAAGTGTGCATCGTATTTCTGTCCAGCTTCATAGTGGAGAACTTGAAGACCTTCTCCATGTTCTGTAAACAACAATGTTAGCTTGAAGTCATCGAAGGAGAGATAAGCAAAAGAAACGTAATGATTGAAAAACAAGGACTATCCATTTAACTGCAAAAGAAATAAAAAGGAAACAGATTTCGCAAAACGAAAAGTTCAACAAATTGTTTCAGAGTAAAAAATTTAAATTGAAGGTTTAGCTTAGTATTAGAATCTCATACCTACAGGAATGAAAGTGTAGTCTGCTATCCTTTTTTCT